GGGGGGTGGATTTCCCTGGCGCAGGGCTGGGCCGGGGGGGGGGGGGGCATACTGGCCTGGGTTTGAATTCAGGTTCCAACTCCTGCTAGCTGTGTGACTTGGGCAAGTTGCTAAACCTATCTTTGTAGCAATCTCCTCATCGAGGAAATGGGGATAAAAATAAGACGTACCTCACAGAAGCCTAAATTAGTTAGTATTATTTTTATTATTAATTAATTAATGTATTTATTTGCCATAGGATGTATGTATCTACCAGACTGCAGAAAAGTGAAAAATCACCACCATTCTGCAGTCTCCCTTCTCCTATATTCTCCTCTTGGGATTCTGGGCATGCACACACATGCGCCTGGCATGTTTTTCAAACTACTGGGTCTGGGACTCGAACTGCACAGTCAGCCATGTGAGATCCAGCCCCTTAATCACCACGCTACCTGCTGACCCAATGAGTTAGTATTTTGAAGTTCTTAGAGCCTGGCACAGAAACTGTTAGACTGGGTGGTGGTTCAGTGAGAATATTTATTTTGTGTCTCTCAGTAGAGGTAGGGATTTTGCTGTTTTGTCCTATGTGATATCCCAAGTGCCTAGGCTGGTGCTCAATATGTATGTGGCTTTTCCTTTATTTTCAAAAATAATGACAGGACCAGCAGATGGCATAATGGTTACGTCATTGGACTCCCACAAAGTAGACTGAGGTTCAAGTCCCAGACCGGGTAGCTTAAAACATGGCGGGCATGTGTGTGTGCCCAAAATCGCAAGAGGAGAATGGAGGGGTAGGGATTGTGGCGTGGCCATCTCCCCTAAGGGGTGATTTCTCAATTCTATGTGTGTCTATCTCTCTGTGTCTCTGACAAGTGCACGTACCCTATAGCAAAAATCTCTCTAAAAATAAATAAATAAGGTCAGAGGGCACATATACATGTGAGAGAGAGAAAGAGAGAAAAAGAGAGAGAGAGAGAGAGCGCTCCCTCAACAAAGCCTGGTCACTCTCAATCCTTTTCCTCTGTTTCTCCATCCTGTCAGGGCCCTGGGCATGCACACACACCCAGTGTGTTTTCTTAAGCTTCCAGGTGGGGATTCAAACCACTATCAGCTATGTGGGATCCTGTGCTCTCTGCACAGCACTTAACCACTGAACTAAGGAGCTGGCCCAGGCTTTCCTTTAAAACATTTGTAAAGTTTTGGGACCAGCAGTTAGCATAATGGCTATATCGCTGGACTCCTATGTAGTTGACCGTGGTTCGAGTCCTGGACCCAGTGGCTTAAACTCACGCCGGGCGCATGTGCGTGCGTGCCCAAGATCCCGAGAGGAGAATAGAGGAGAAGGGATTGTGACGTGGCCATCCCCCCTTGGGGGTGATCTCTCGCTTTCTGTCTTTTTGTCTCTCTTTTTCTGGCGAGCATATGCATCCTATAGCAAAAACCTCTCCAAAGGGAAAAAAAAATTTTTTTTAAGTTTATTTGTTTGTTCAACGAGAGGGAAACAAAGAGACAGGCTCCCTCAACACGATCTTCACACTGTGGTCCTTTCCTGGTCTCAGCTGGTGGGATCATGGCCCAGGCACGCAGTTCCCGTGCATCTCAGGGATGTCCCAGGGCCTGAACCCAGGTCCTTTCCCATGTGGATCTAGCTTGCAACCACCTGGCCACTGTATTTCCTTCCCCCTTCCCCATAGAGCACATGTACTCCCCAGAGAGAGACAGAGGGAGGGAAGGTGAGAAATCACCCCGGGAGAGGGCGATGCCCACACTGCAAGCTCTTATCCATTTTCCTCTCAGGATTTTGGGCACACATGTACATGCACCTGGCTTGATTTTCAAGCTGCCAGATCCAGGACTTGAACCATGGTTGGCCATATGGGAATACGGCAGCTTAACCACCACGTCACCTGCTGGGCCCTAAACTGAAATATTTAACTGTGGTAAAATATACATAACATAAACTGTAGCGTCCTCACCACTTGTGAGTGAACAGTTAGGTGTTTTTAAGTGTTTCACCCTTGTGCAACCAGCCTCCAGAGCTGTTTTCATCTTGCAAAACTGAAGCGTACTAGCTGTTAAACACTTCCCCATTCCCCCTCACTCGACCCTTTGCCCTAGGCATGTCACTGTTTTGCGCGATGGTAGAACTGGGATTTAGAACAACCCAGACAGAATGTATCAGCAGTGTTTGAGTGAATGACTGGCAGGAAGGGAAGATCAAACTGTAACTGGGAGGACTGGGGTGGGTCAGCTTTGGCCTACCCTGGCTTAAGCATCTGCCTCTGCCTCTGCCTGGTGCCCACAGCCTCAGCCACCTTCGAAGACTTCCAGATCCGCCCACATGCGCTCACGGTGCACTCCTACCGAGCACCTGCTTTCTGCGACCACTGCGGGGAGATGCTCTTCGGCCTGGTGCGCCAGGGACTCAAGTGTGATGGTGAGCTCAGGGGTTGGAGGCTGGGCCTGGGCGGGGTCAGATGTGGGGGCGGGGTCTCGGAGGGGCGGCTTGCAGGGAGAGCTGAGCTTGGGCGGGGCTCAGCTCCAGGGGGTGGGGCCTAGGAGGTGACTCCAATTACACGGTCAGCCCAAGGGCCTTGGAGGCCTAGAAGTGGGGCTTGGAAGGGGTGGAGCTAGGAGGAACTGAGGGTAGAAGAGATGAGGCTTGCGGGAAGGGGGCAGAGGCCTGTGTCAGTGAGGGCTCAAGCAGAGAAACAAGTCCGAGACCTGTATGAAGAGGTAATTGCCCCACAGCAGGTTGTATAGTGGTTACGGTGCTAGACTCCCACACAGTTGACTGCGGTTCAAGTCCCAGACCCCATGGCTTGAAACGCAGGCCAGGCGCATGTGCGTGCGTGCCCGCAGTCCCAGGAGGAGAATGCAGAAGGGATTGCAGCGTGGCTGTTCCCCTGGAGGGTGATTTCTTGCGAGTGCATGCGCCTTATAACAAAGTATCTCTCTCAATTAAAAAAAAAAAAAAAGAGGTTATTACAAGGAATTGGTTTACAGGATTGTGGGGGCCAGCTAGGCACCTCCGAAATCCCCAGGGTCACCTGGTCAGGAAGGGCAGGCCCGCGGGCTGGGCACAGGAAGAGCTTCTCATCTGGGAAGTCCCAGCTCTGCTTTTTAACCTCTCAAGCCACTGAACCAAGCCGGCCCAGATGAAAGAGAACACTTGCTCACAGTCCGCTGAGGAGGGCCTTCCATCACGTGGGCCCACCACATGGACCCAGATGTGTGTTTGAATACCTGGACCCTAGCCTGGCCACAGGGCACAAGGCGGACCACTGGCGTCCACTCCTCGTCACCCTGGCACCAGTCTTGGTTTGCTAGGGCTGCCAGACAAAATGCCACCAGCAGTGTGGCCTCAATGACAGATCTTCATTTCTCAGCATTCTGGAGGCTGGAAAGCCCAGGATCAAGGTTTCTGGTGAGGCCTGTCTTCACAGCCCGGCGTATTCACACGGCACATGGAGCGCGTGCGAGATCTCTGGGGTCTCTTCATGTTATGAGGACGCCAGTTGCACCGCGTCTGGGCCCCATGCTTTGCCCTGTGTACCGTGACTGACCTCCATAAAGCCCCGCCTGCAGATACAGGCTTCACCACGTGAACATCTGGTCCACAACCCACCCGTGTAGGTCCCCGTCAGCCAAGGTGCCTCGAGGCTCAGCCCAGGTTGAGATCTCCGGGTCCCCTGTCCCATCATCGAGGCTTCTGAGCGAGAACGTTGCCGTGGGGCCCTACCTGCCCGCGCAGGCCAACACCCACGTCCGTCTGTGCTTCAACACGGCAGCCGAGGGCCCCCATCCTGAGATGGCCACTGCACCCCTGTCTGTCCCGTGTGCTCTCTGTGTTAGGGGCACCTGCCCAGGTGTTCCACGGGCGCTCGTGTCTGGCACCGTGTCTCTGGCACCCTGCGCTCCGACCACCTACAGCATCAGCGAGGCTTGGCCCGCGCAGCCCTCCGTGGTGTACTGGGGGCATTATCGGAGGACTCTAGGCCTGCAGAAGTCGACTCCATGGATTCAGAGCTGTCACCAAGATGGAGCTGCACACAGCCCATCTCCAACCCCTGACGTCCGCTCCGCCTGCGTCCTCAGTGTGGACTTCACGGCCCAGCACTACGGGAGATGGTCCCCGAGCAGATGGGAAGACAGGCACGACGCACGATGCTTAATACCACTGACACCTTCCTATGGGAGCTGGGCTCTGTCTTGACAGTAGACGAGCTTCTGGAATTCCATGAAGCGCGTGCGCGACTGGAGGCCCAGACTGGGCAATGGTTCCTAGGTGCCGAGACCCTCCATCGTCTTAAAACTCTTGGGCCAGCAGCATCCCCTAAGCTTCCTTCTGCAAGGCCCCAGTGGCGGAGGAGATCCGAGACAGCCCACGGTGAATTACCAGCTGAGAGGCCTCTCCAGGCAGGCTGCCCAAAGGCAGCTTCAGTGAGGGGTTCCCAGAAAAGCTTCCAAAGGCTGAGGACTGTTCTTTTTTTTTTTGGAAAGGTTTTTTGCTGTAGGGCACGTGCACTTGCCAGAAAGACAGAGAGAGACAGACAGAAAGTGAGAAATCACCCCCCAGGGCGGATGGCCATGCCGCAATCCCTTCTCCTCCATTCTCCTCTCGGGATCTTGGGCACGCACGCACACGCGCCTGGCGTGAGTTTAAGCCACCGGATCTGGGACCCGAACTGCGGTCGACTACATGGGAGTCCAGCGACAACTGCTGGTCCTGCTTTTTGTATTCTTATTTCTTATTCTTATTTCTGTGTGTCTGACTTTAGTTTTCCTGGTATAGCACTCCTTCCAGCACTTCTTAGAGAGCTGGTCTAGTGATGGTAAATTCTTTCAGGTTTTGTTTATCTGAGAAAGTTTTTGTCTTTTCTTCCTATGTGAAGGACAATCTTGCCGGATATAGTATTCTTGGTTAAAATTAGTTTGTTTTTTTTTTTGAGAGGATTTTGCTATAGGGCACGTTCTCTCACTCGCCAGAAAAAACAGAGAGAGACAGAGAGACAGAAAGCAAGAAATCACCCCCCAGGGAGGATGGCCACACCACAATCCCTTCTCCTCCATTCTCCTCTCGGGATCTTGGGCACGCACGCACACGTGCCTGGCGTGAGTTCAAGCCTCAGGATCTGGGACTTGAACCATGGTTGACTACATGGGAGTCCAGAGACATAGTTATTACACCAGCTGCTGGTCCCTGAAATTGTTTTTTACTTAATACTTTGAATATATTTTCCCATTCTTGCCTTGTTTGCATTGCTTCCGATGAGGGTCTGATGCTATCCTGATGGGATATCCTTTGAAAGTAACCTGACGTTTCTCTCTTACCAATTTTAGTATCTTGTTTCTGTCTGTGGTTCTGGTCATTCTAGCTATGATGTGCCTTGGAGAAGATCTTCTTGGGTTGATGACCTATGTGGGGTCCTGTGTACTTCTTGGGTCTGGATATTTGAATGCCTCTCTAGGTTTAGTAAGTTTTCTTCCAGAATTTCATGGAATAGATTATCAATGCCCTTATTATTTTCCTTTTTTAAAAATTATTTTATTTAACTTTATTTATTTATTTATTTTAATTTGACCAGAGCTGGAGAAGTAGTGGGGGGGAGGAATGAGAAATCCACCAGGTCCAGGACTCAAACTGCAGTCAGCCATGTGGGAATCCAGCACCCTTTATTACCACGCCCCCCACCGCCCCCACCTTATTATTTTTTTTTTTTGAGAGTTTTTTTGCTATAGGGCCACATACTCACCAGAAAGACAGAGACAGAGAGACAGAAAGCGAGAAGTCACCCCCCAGGGGGGATGGCCACACTGCAATCCCTTCTCCTCCATTCTCCTCCCGGGATATTGGGCACACACACATGCACCTGGCGTGTGTTTAAGCCACCAGGTCTGGGTCTTGAACCACAGCCCACTACATGGGAGTCCAGTAACATAGCCATTACGCTAACTGCTGGTCCCTCCCCCACTTCTTATTTTCTTCACCTTCTGGGATACTGATTATCTGGATGTGTGGGCATTTAAAGGTATCTAGTATTACTCATATGTTATTCTTATTTTTTTGGATTATTTTCTCAATCTTTTTGGTGAATTTTTCTAGGTCAGAGGTTCTATCTTCTACATCTGAGATTCGATCTTCTGCATGATCTAATCTGCTTTTAATACTTTCTTTCTTTATTTTTTTTTTTGGAGAGGTTTTTGCTATAGGGCGCATGCGCTCGCCAGACAGACAGAGAGAGGCAGAGAGACAGAAAGCGAGAAATCACCCCCCCAGGGGGGATGGTCACGCCGCAATCCCTTCTCCTCCATTCTCCTCTTGGGATCTTGGACACGCACGCACACGTGCCTGGCGTGAGTTTTAAGCCACCGGGTCTGGGACGCGAACCGCGGTCGACTACGTGGGAGTCCAGCGACATAGCCATTACGCTAACTGCTGGTTCCCTATCTGATTCATTTTTATGGTGTGTATTTCCTCTTTCAGATCATGAATGAACTTCCTCACCTCCTGGAACTAACTGTCTCTTTTCTCCTGCATTTTCTAAGTCCGTTGTCTCTCTTCTCTTGCATCTCTGTTAGCTTTGTCACTATGAATATTCTAAATTCTTTAGCTGTCATTTCCACGAGTTCCCTTGTACTGTGGAGTGAGGAGTTACTCTTTTCCCATGGGGGAGAGAGACTTTCTCGACTTCTCATATTTCTTGTGCCTCTGCCATGGTTTCTGGCCATCCCATGGACTATATGTTTTTTCCTAATTTTTGGAGTTAAATCTGAGCCTTCCGAGGCATTCAGGAGGAGGTGATCTGCAAACTCTAACAGTACCGTTTTTCTCCCTTTATGCAGCAGATTTCATGGAACACAAGGATTACTTTGACTCTGGCTAGATCTGGGGGAGAGGCGGGTGAGGTCTGGGCAGAAAACCTTCTAATGTGGAGGCTTGCTTTTTTCTTGTCCTCTCTCCCTGGTCAAATTAAAAAACAATAATAAGTAAAATTAAATAAATAATTTTTTTCAAAGTTACAAAAAGAATTATTCACCCAATCTTATCTATCATCATCATTATTATTATTACTATTTTCCAGTTTGCAAAAGGACACGCATGCTCAGCAGAGAGAGACACAGAGAGAGAGAGAGGGAATGTGAGAAAGCAAGCGGCCAGGTCCAGGGCTCGAACCACAGCCGGCCATATGGGCGTCCAGCAACTTAACCACTATACCACCTGCTGGCCCTTGATACAAAAATTTAAAAATCCGGGGATCAGCAGTTAGCGTAATGGCTATGTCACTGGACTCCCATGTAGTCGACTGTGGTTCGCGTCCCGGACCTGGTGGCTTGAAACTCATGCCAGGTGCGTGTGCTTGCGTGCTCAAGATCCCGAGAGGAGAAGGGATTGCGGCGTGGCCATCCCCCCTGGGTGTGGTTTCCCACTGTCTATGTCTGGTGAGTGCACGCACCCTATAGCAAAAACCTCTAGAAAAAAAAGTAAAAATCCATGCAATGTTTTTTCATGATGTGCATTTCCCGTGAGCTGAGTGCTCCTCACGTGATACAGCTCTCCTGGGTACGGCCAAATACCCCGGGAAGTCCTCCCCTCAGAAGAGAAAGCCAAGCCTCCTTTGCCATCCTCAACTGAAATACCACCATATGAAGTTAACTATTAACATTGCGTCTTATGTTAGATGACTAGAGGATAAGATGGAATGAAATTAAAATATGGGATACACACACATATTGATCATGAAATAAAGAAGAAAGACTCCGGCGACTGCAGCCCTCCCGGCTGCAGCTGGTCACGTGGTGTAGCTCCTTCCTTCCGGACCTAAGCCGGCTTCCACAGCAAGCACCCTGCCTGCCCCGGTCCTTCGCCTGATGGTGACCCAGACGTGCATTCCCATGTGTCTGGGCTGTTAGCAGTTCTTCCTGGCCTGGGGTTTACATTTTCCGTGGACTTTAGTCACACTGACCGTGTCCCCGGGGACCTCCCAGATTCGCCATCTGCAGGGAGGGGAAAAGAGGGCCATGATGCTGGGGAGCGCGCGACTGGAAGAGGCGGTTCCTCTTGCAGAGTTGGGGCTGGCGAGGGAAGGGAGAACCTCAGGAAAGCAAGGGGCAGAGCTGGAGGCTGTGGTGGGTGGTGGGGACACACATCTCCGGAGGTGGCCTGGAATCTGGGGAGGACTCGAGGGAGGTGCTGACCGTGGAGCGGTAGAGCCCGGGCTGAGCTCTGGAGATGCCCTGGGAGGTGGGAAGGGGTGGGGTGTGTGGCATATGGCAGGGTTTAGGGACCAAAGGGGTAGACGAAGTGGCGGCAGGGCGATTAGGGCAGAGTACCACGAGGAGGGCGTGGCCTGGGGTTGCATTTAAGGGGAGCAATGCCTTTTGGAGGGGATTGGGCTAGGGAAGGGAGCCAAGCCGGATGGCGGCTGGGTGCAGACAGCAGAGCCAGCTTGGTTAGGGGTAAGGGGTGATGGGGAAAGTCTCCCAAGTCCCTGACAGCTGGCACCCCCGCAGGCTGCGGGCTGAACTACCACAAGCGCTGCGCCTTCAGCATCCCCAACAACTGCAGCGGGGCCCGCAAGCGGCGCCTGTCGTCCACGTCTCTGGCCAGCGGCCATTCTGTGCGCCTCGGCACCTCCGAGTCCCTGCCCTTCTTGGCTGATGAACTGGTGAGGGG